CTAATTGAGTAAAATTAATGCACATTAGCAGTGAAAAACATATTTTATTATAATTGTTGTTAAAACAAAAAAAAAACAAAAAACATTTTTATTTAACAATTGCTTTAAAAACATTTTTTCATATTTTAATGTTAGTCTCTTCACTTACTCGGCTCAATTTCATACCAAGTGCTACAAGATACGTTTCAATAATAAATCGAATTCATTATGATAAATATTCTTCTACAGGAGGAATGACGGGGAAAAGGATATAAGAAATTTCTATTTTGCCATATTTTCTTATCCTCTTTGAAGGCGATATTTTCTATAATTCAATTGTAAAAATAGTCTAACACTGTCTTAACTTTTTTATTATAGTTCAAAATGATTTATTTATTTTATTGCAGAAAACTAAAACTAACATAATGATTCACAGGCATCTAGTGAGATAAATTTTGTATCGTATTCTGTTGATTATATCTAATTAAAGGGATATCCTTTAAGCAAAGAGAATAATCATAATTAAACCAACTGAAAACACTATAATGGGGCGCGACCGTTGGATACTCCATTTACTCCGCACTACAGTCATTCATACAAAGTCTTTTCAAAATAAGGGCTTTGTCGAAAAGGTCGAGAACGGGTCGAAACACGTCAATGTCTCAAATTTCTTCAAAATGCCTACAAAATGGCGATAGACAAGTGAAATGACTTGATCGATAATAATAATAAAACGTGAGCTTGTTTCAAGTCTTTCTGTGTGTCAGATACACCCGCAGAAAAATAATGTACCCCATGTGTTGTAGGGTATAACCACATTTAAATTAAATGCTAATAATAATAGTAAGTAAAGCCAGTGATATAAAATCCAGTCCAGTTAAAGAATATTATGCTATGTGGATTAATTGTGGACGGAAAACACAATAGGGAACCAAATCTGTTTGCAACAATGAGACATATATCAAGACATAAAATTGATAAGTATGCAAATGACAACGGTGTGGTAATTAGCGGCGTACCATTGATATGAAATTCTCTATGGCGGTAACAAAATTCAATGATGGATCGAACCTTTCAAACTATGCGGAATGGATTGTGAAGCTTGTAGTTTGCGTAACATCGCCTCGCCTCGCCATTGTTCCTCCGTCGATTAAGTGTTCAAAGCTGGAACTTTTATAGTCAACAGCGGGAAGATATAATGTTTTCGTTTAATTTCATAATCAATGACATTTACATACCACGATTTCTTTTTCGAATGCGAATAAGTCAATTAACTGTTAATTTTTTCCGTAAAGAGGATGCGCCAGAAAAGACTTCTAGCCATTTTTATGCTAAATAATAATTGGTCGAGACATTTCTCACTAACTGTTAAATCGGATATCGTAAAATTGATTCAAACTAAAATAATCGATAGTTTTTCCACTTCTTTGCGTGCTTAGTTTTTCAAACAGAAAAGTACAAAAGATATTTAGTTCGAAAAAGTTGCTCAATATTCCCTACATAAGTAGTGAGCGAGTAGGTTAGATTGGCGGACTCTTCTCAGCAGTACATAGAGCATTAGCAATTGGTTCTTCACAAGGTTGATTTCAACTTCTTAAGCAAATGATAAATAGCTGAGAGAGTGAGAACGAGATAGGGAGTGCCCAAAATTTCCCGATGAGTGACGGTTGATATGTTATCAGGTCTGCATTATCACGACCATCCAAATTACGCGATCAAAGAGAAAAATCAAGACATCAGGATATATATTGGCTTTTAGTATTCCATTCCGCTATAATCACTTTAAAGCCTAAGTATTTTATTGAAAGGATCCTGAAATCCTCAAATTATTGAAATTTGAATTACGGCCAAAATTTATTAATCAAAGTATTTCAACAGAAGACTTTGGGGATAAGTCATGCAAAGCGATAAGCTTTTAATTGTCACTTTTCCTAAAGGTATCGCACAGAAATGCCATAGTCTAGCATTGTGACCTAGCACTCACTAGTCATAAAACCTTGTGACTGCAGTCTGTGGTTTCTTGTCAATTTTCAATATTAACTTTCTTATAAAACGAAGTTGTTGTAAGTTACAAAAACAGAAAAAACCCAAAATGCTTATATCTTGTTATCTGTGATGTTGCTAAGAGTTTCACTGCAAGCACTACTTCCCAATAAGTAAAGGTCAACATATCTCAAGCAAATTCCAAAATGTAATGCAGGAGAATTGCTTTGAAGGTGAAAAGGTTAGACAACTTTTACTCCAAAAGTAAAGTTAAAATAATAATTAATTACAGAAGAACGAGAGAGAGAGAGAGAGAGAGAGAGAGAGAGAGAGAGAAAATTGATTCTCTTTTGTGCTTTGCAAACTCAAAAGTTTTTGACTTTTGGCTTTTTTTTAATTAAATTCTCCCCTTCTTTTGAATTGTTACTGTGGTACAATAAAGCAATGGATTAAAGTTTAGTCTGACTTGCTTTTGTAAATTCTAGTTTATTTTTCTATTACACACGCAGCGTATTCAAATTGATTCAAAATTCTTCTCCAAGTTTCACACAATTTTAATGTTTTTTTTTTTTTTCTTTTTTTCTTATCTCTTTGAGATTTCATTTCATCAACTAAAAGGCAAAGGATAAAGGCTTTAATACTCACATTCTGATAGTAGTGTACAAGTTATAAATATTATTATTTAATAACGCAACTTACCGTGAATAAAGAATTGTCAATACCACCGGCAAATGAAACATTCTTCCATGTAGTTATTACAACATGTTTGGGTATAAACGTTTCAGCACCCACAACACCCTCACGTATATCCCACATGACGCGTTCACGTACTTCAACACCAAATCTATCAGTGCGTGTCATCAGATCACGTTCCAATCTGCAGAAAAACAAGAGCAAAAGAAATAAAAAGGAAATAAAATTCTTTAAAAAATATTGCATAAGAAAAGAATGGAAAATAATAGAGAAATATTTTCATATTTTACATGCCCGATAGCATATCTATGCAAATAGTAATTTATAATATTTTTATAAACACCATCAGGAAAGAACGATATGTTAAATAAGTCATTTAATCCATTCGGGCGACACAATCAAACCAAGCTACTTTTTTTTATATAAATAAATGTAGGGTGTTGTTGGAGAAAACTAAAAAGTGTTGTTGTAAATTTTTATTAACATATATAGGGCGAAGGGTTCCATATCATTGTTGCGTTAAGTTCAATCTCTCGAATGCGAGCTAACATTGATAAAGCCTGCAGTGCTGCTTTCTACAAGACGGTAAATAGACTTTTGATGGAGCTTTGATTTATCCAAAACTCTCACAGTATTTTGTGACTGATTTGAATAAGACATTTTCTTCTTTTAAAATACTCTCGTTAGTCAAATAATCTTCTATAAGTTTCCCTGCTCCATGTCGTACAATAAATACATCTTCATAAACCTTGATCACGAAAAATCGCAGCGATTCGAGCATCAGAGCCTTTACAAAATAATTTCTCGTTTTATAAGTAGCGGAGAAGATAGTGAAATATCAAGGTTAATAGTAAATTGAAGGACCGTTGTTGTATTCGTAAAGTACATAAGTATGTGATAGTCGAGGAATTTTTGATTGAACCTGGCGCTGCTAGATAGAATATTCGTAGACCTAATGGTCCCCAGTAGGATTGCTAAAGTTCCCCCAAATGATTGGTGGATGGTAGGTAAGACGAATTCCCTTTGAAGAATATTAAAACGTAATTTTGGGTGCTTCACTTGTGATTGAAAGTAAAATGGGAAAGGTCTTTAGATCTGAAAGATGGAGCTTGTAACAAATCCTATACGAGAGGCAAAAACAAATAGGAAGGACTGAGGAAATCATAGTAGAGATAAATAATAAACGAAAAGTTTAGTCTAACCGTGACCGTCGAAGAGCACCGATTGAACAAGGCACACGAAACCCATGCAGATTCTGCCAGGGGACGAGTAAAACATCGCAACACATTCTATTTAAATGTGACGCTATCTGCGAAATTAGGCACCAAGTGTTTGGCCAACACTCCCGGTCTTCCGAACCAAACAAAGTGACAAAATTGATACGAATCCTAAAACTGAAGAGCTATGAGCACAATAGATGTTTTAGGTCACAGTATGGATTGCCCACACAATTAATAATAATAAAATACCGTAGATTTCAGTAGATGACAGCAGACCACATGTTGCCATACTAGAGTATAGAACGCTACACTATGTTACTGTAGGTTACAATGTGAGCAGATCCGTGCGAACCGCCTTAGTTCATCGCGATCACGATTGTTTGATGTAGACTGCAGTAGATAGCGCTACAGTTCATGCAGGTCTAAAAGTTTCAGTACCTATTCCCATAAAGTTTGCGAATAATATCGTTTGTGTACGGTTACAATCTATTGAAAAACGAAAGAGATACAAATAATTTTTTTTTCCCCCTCAATTCTATACAGTGTAGTTAGGCACGTAGTATATATTCTCAAGCGTAGGTATTCTGTAAAAGCCGTATCGCACGGTTTTTTTTTGCTCACACTCCAATTGTGTGTTTTTCAGCACACAAATCATGGCTGCCATATGCGCAGCAATGTTTCAATTGTCACTCACACACTGCCCAATACTTTTGACAAACATAGAAAGGCATTTGGAGAAATTTCAATATTCATGCAAGAGTAGTTTTTAGGAAAACTTTTTTTCTTTAAGGGTAAAATATTTCTTTAATGAGATATAATTATTATTAGAAATAATTCCTAAACTCCGAGCCCATTTTGGGCACATACGAGAGGGTTTTGCTTTTTCTTAAAGCAGGCTACAATTTTTCATACATTCAAATGAGTCAGGAGGTTTTTTTTTTTTGGTTTTCTGCTCTTAATAAGTAAGGATGGTTTAGTTGGAACTATAATTGTCAAAATTCATTCCTATCAATCTTTCGATTATTTCCAATTGCGAATGGAACGGTCGAGTTAATGTATTTCCCAAATTTACCAAAAATTGACGAATCATGTTTCTATCCTCTTCATCCCTTTTTATTTACAAAAAAAAAAAAAGAAGCTATTTTTTATAATCATAAAAACATTGAAGACAGATTCTTGAAAACATAAAATTACGATAACTATTAGCACACAATGCGTTTATGCATTTTATGTTTCTCTGCTTTAGACACGATAAAAACAAAAAAAACAAAATGTGCTAAGAAACGCAAATTATGTGTTTTCCTGAGCAGAAAAACAAAAAAAAATAAAAAAAAACAGGAAGGAAGAGGATTAAAAAAAGCAAACGAGATGCATAGGAAACCTTTAAGGACATAAAAACCGTAAGGAATCATTCACGTTACATCAAGATTTAAAATCACATTAAAATCTAAAAAATTAAAATTTCTTTTCCTTGAAATGCAAGACGATTACATTTATTTCAGATCAGATTAAAATTAAATCAACTCGTTTAAAGCATTATTATAAAATCTACGAATACATTAGTAAATATTATTATCATGATTTTACGGCTTACTTCGCCACGTGCTGACATATAATTTTTGAAAAAAAAATCCTTTTTTATTTGTGATATGATCTTAAAAAAAAAAAAATAATTGTTTTATTCGCTGTTTTTTTTTTTTTTTT